GCTTCTCTCACTCGAGCGACAGGGCTCCGGGGCGGACCGGCTCCGTTCACAGCCTAAACTCGGACACCTGGGTCGGTTTGGCCCGTCAGCGAGCCGCCCTGCTCGGAGAAACGCACTTTATTCGAGCCTAGCGTTAGCAGCTAGCTGCTAGCGGCACCTGTTGATAACAAAGCCACTTGAGAGCGAACAGAAAGCGCTGGAAGCCTCACCTGCTTCAGCCCGACCTCCGCCTCTGTCTCACGACTCAATCCCCCGGGAAATTGCCGGGTTACAGCACCGCTCTGAACCCTATCCGCCACTCGCTTCGCGGACTTTCTGTCGGTGATTCTCCGTTTCTCTGGCAAAGTTACTGCTCGCTGCTCGGACACCAACGGAGACCTCCCCTCCTCTTCCTCACTGTCATTCCCAGCTCCAGAGAGGGGGCGGGGCCAGCGAGCCACCAGCTAGATAACACGGTGACGCTGATTGGACGCACCTATGAAAGGAATTTGGTTTCAGCCAATGAGACACGCCGCTACATGGACTGCAGCACAGCGAGGTTAGCATTAAAAGTAAAGCAGGCAGCTGGGCTAGCTGTGCAGGGGCTTCCCCAGGATTTTTAACAGGGGGCCAAGAACACCAACATGGGGGGTTCTGATCATAAATAAATAAAGAGTTATTTAAAGTCTTTAGGTGAGTACAAGTCATAGTCTTCCTTACCCTGTCTTAAATGTATGCAGCTCATTGGACTGCTTCAAACAACCACACAGGGAAAATAAAGTTATCCTCTACCTCGCTCGTTGTTTACTCTGAGTGATGTCAGTTTCATGACATCACTCATAAATGTGATCTGTTCAGTCAGCTGTGCTGTGTTTAACTTCTGCCTGCTGTGATTATCTTCGTGCATCATCAGTGACTCACTGTGAGGAATGTAATTCGATGAGAATGTGTGGACAGGTGGGATAAAAGCTGCAGATAGGTCTGACCTGCAGAAACTGCCCATTCAGTAAATCACTTTCTGGCACCCAGTCTGGCTCAGAGAATGGTGGTCGTGCTCACTCAGAGGAATAATGACAAATACCACAGACTTCCAAAATAAAAGTCCTACTGTACATCAAATGTACCCAAATAGATTACTGGATTGTAACTGAGACAGTCATGTGTTCTACACTTGAATGGTCTCCATGGGTTTGATCACTTTGTTGTTCTAGCCTTCCCAGTGCATTTCAGATCCAGTTTAAAAATCTATTATTTGTTTCTCAGAGCGTCGATGGTTTGGCACCGCCTTACCGTTTGAAACCCTTCCGTTCTACCACAGCACTGAGGCACTGCTGCTCCTGGAGATTCAGAGATCCAGGTTTGAAAGCAGAGGCGATGGAGCCTTCTCAGGGGTGGCTGCTAAACTTAGCTTTTCACATTAGAGCTGCCCGAACTCTAAGTCACTATAAACAAAAAACAACTGCTCTCAGGTCTGTTAGAGCCGCACACCCTGGCTTTTATTATGCAGCCACAGTCTTTAATCGTTGTAATTTGTCTGTATTCACTGTTGATTTAGTGATTGTTTTATACAGTGTACATTTGGTATAAGTTGCAATGCAACATGCAATAAAACTAACCTTTGACTTTAGAGTAAGGCTGTCAGCGAGGGTCTGCTGCAGAAACACTTCAGTACTAAAAGCAGGTTAATCAGTAACTTTCAGGACATAACGAGCTCTCCAGCCGGAGCAGGTGAATCATGTGAAACGCTGCAGCTGGTCTGAACGTTTCTCAGGACTCTGATCTGCAGCAGAGCCAGAGTGAGGCCGGATGCAGTAAAGCACTTCCTAACAGGGATGAAAACATCCACACATTCCTGATGTCGGATTATTTTTATTTCCAGACATGAAAAATGAGGTCAGCTCATCATCATCATCATCATCATCACCACATCGGTCGGTCGTTGTGTTCAATAAAAAGACAAATGTGCACATTAAAGGAATATTCTGCATGTTAATAAAGAATCTGAAACTACATTTCCCATGATGCACAGAACAGCCGACTAACCCTGCAGATAGAATCTGAGGGGGCGGAGCTTCAGGTCAGAAACGACAACAAAACGTCCTCACGCGCAGCTTCAGAGTCTGTTTTTACAGCGCCGGACGATCTGCTGGACCAGCACGGCCCGGCCCAGGTTCAGGGTCAGCGCGGCTGTCCCAGCAGGCCAGCTTTAGCCGCCAGAGCCTCGTTCTGCTGGATGTGATACTCCTGGAAGCGCATGGAGATCCTCTGAGTCATCTTCAGATACTTCTGCAGGCACGACTCGGAGCAGCTCGACTGAAACACAAACAGCTGTGAGGATTTTATCCAGATGTTCCTTCACTCACTTGTTTCCGTCATCCAATCATCTTTTTTTTACCTCCTCGGGCTTCACGTCTCTCGTGGTGAAGTCTCGGACGCAGTCCATGAAGCAGTTCTCCGTCACCTTGTTGTACGTCCCCAGAAACTCCTTAAACTGAACACAGGAAACAGACACGGCTCAGAAAACGGCTGCAGAGCAGCAATTCAGCAAAAAAATCTGAGAGACGACCGAGAAGGATCCGAGGTTCAGGTCTGGGAAGAAATTTCCCCAAACAGGTTTTAACCTCCGTCCTCTCGCTGCTTCAGGCACGCTCAGTTTTAGAAATAAAAATATATGATTCAACTACAGGTGGAGCTCATAAGTAGAACCGTTCTGGTATTAGATTTACATGTGTGCTGGAGAGCTGCTCCTTTTGTTCACTAAAGCACATTTGTGAAGGAATAAAAAAAAGTCTACTGCTCTGAAAAACTAAATGTTCAGCGAAGTGCAGCACAGAGGCTCCCGTTCATAAAACAGTATTACAAAGAATAGTGTATTTGTCATAAATAAGCCCTTCAATATTCTTTTTCAAAAACTTTTAACCATTTTGTTTTTTTTATTTTCTTCTTTTTTCATTTCCTGAAGTTTCACCTTTTTCCATTCATTTACCTCCTTTTTTACCAACTTGCTTTTCATTTCAGATATTCATTTCTTAACTATAATTTTTCATAATGCCATATAATATTTTCTTGTCTTACTTGATTTATTTTTATTTAATTTATTTTCATTTATAAATGGTAAATGGCCTGTATTTGTATAGCGCTTTACACTACATTCAGTCATCCATCCATTCACACACTGGTGATAGCAAGCTACATTGTAGCCACAGCTGCACTGGGGCGCACTGACAGAGGTGAAATGAACAAATACTTTATGATCTTTCAAGTTACTTTTATCATACTTTCTAATTTACGTGCTTAATTTTTTACTTTGAAAACATTTCATGATCCTATCTCTCAATTATACGGTTTCATTTATTTATTATCTATGTGCATTGCTTTTAGCTACTCTTTAAAGGAATTTTTCATTTCTAAATTAAATCTAATTACTTTCTTGTCCGCTCGTGTATTGGTCCCAATAAGCTGGCACAGTTTTCTGGCATTAACAGTATTTGAGTTTGTTTTGATTGATTCTGTTTTTATCTATTTATTTTACCTACGGGTCTGTCGCTCTCTCCTTTTTTGTCCCTCACAGGCCTCCTTGCTGTATATCTGTGAAGGTTCTCAGTCATCCAGGTCATCGTAGTCTAAGGAGCTTGGAAAGAAAAGCGTCTGGACTTCTTTAGGTTGCTTGAAGACATTTCACCGCTCATTCGAGAAGCTAACCCAGAACTGAAGAAGCTTCTCGGACGAGAAGTCCAGACGCTTTTCTTTCCAAGCTCCTTAGACTCCTTGTGTATAGTTCAGTGCGGGCTTTCTATGGACCCTGGAGGCCACAGTAACCGGACTTTGTGCCTCTGAATTCTGAGCCTCTTTTCTCAGAGTCGACATGAAAACTCTTGGGGTCACTTACCTGTTTGATCTGGTCGGACTCGGACACCTGGACCGCCATGATTCGGACTCTGTGGGAGGGGAAACAGGGCGACAATTAGCAGTAATGCTAACACACCAGACTCTATTCATAAATCCTCCATTTTTAACTCTCTTCGCGGTCCGCCTCTTTTAAAGCTCCTCCGGCGCTCACGTGTTATTCTTTCAATGTGACCTTACAGGTGTACCGTTCAGCTTAGGTTGGCTGGTTTAGTAACGCTTCAGATAGCAGAGGTTACCCGGGATTTAGTGACATGATGAACAAACCTACCTGATAAAACAGCACGTTTAAACGGACTGCTGCTGCTAACGGCTAGCCCGGTTAGCGCCGTGTTCCCGCCCTGTGATGAGGGTCCCTCTGTTCTCCTGGAGATGTTCTTCTTCAGCCTCCCGAGCAGCAGCGCTCAGTTTCTCTTTACAACAGCAGGAGGACAGTTTTTATTCCACCTGAGCTCCGAGCTGCCTGAGGGGATCCTCCGAGTGACGGACTGAAGGACGCATGCGCACAGAGCAGCAGATTCTCTCCGATATTTTTGCGACTTTTCATGTAAATTAAAAAGAAAAAACCACATGAGGCTTACATTAAGCTTAATATTCAACTCTTAATTAATAATTTTTTATTAAACTCAAAAGACGGATAAAAATGTACATTTGAGAGAAAAATGTCACGAATGTTCAGGTCAGAAACCGAAACTTACCGGAGAGCAACAAAAGTTCTGCGACTGGTGTTCCGGCCTCCAAATATAATCGCATTAAACTAAATCTAAACTTTATCAGTAAGTCCTTCTATAAAGGCAAACCATCTTCAATCATAATTTCTCCTGAACCAGTCCAACTTTACAGGGTCGTTTCAAACACATTTCAGAAAAACACAGAATTCTCGCGAGCAGTAAAATGCACTCTGACAAAGAAGCTGTTTTCACAATTGCAGCTTCTAGAACTAGTGAGACAAGTGTTTCAAGTATTTATGAATGATGTCCCAAACTCATGGCACATTCAAAAGTCATTCAAATACGTAAAAACCAAAGATCAAGAATCCATTGTTATGTGAAGAGACCTCTGTTTCTTTTGGTTTATTTATATTGTTACTTTATTATTTGATTTTATTTAAGTTCATTATGTTTGTATTTGTTATTTAATTGAGTTAATATTCGTTTGAATACATTTTTTCTGTCACTTTCGCACTCATTGATTTTTCTATGATAGAGGTGTACTGTCCAGTTTTCGGCTAATAAATAAAGTTTTCATTTGCTGTGTTTACTTTGTTTCTCAATGCCGTTTGTTCTTCTTCGTGTTTTGATTTTGAAGCGGAGTTTTTTCAGCATCCTGTCTGGAGCGGAAGCCGGAAGTTCGGTTGTTTGTTGTCAGCAACAGTTGCTGTGTTTGAACATTTTTTTTTTCTGTCATAGTTTCTGTGGGGGTTTTTCCTGGCGTCTCGTTGGGGTGTAAATTATTTTAACTCTCTCCTCACCCCCCCGCCACGCTGACCGCCGCCTTCCTTCGACCTTTACCCGACCAGCGGCGGGTTTTAGAGCCGGAGCGGGAAGTCTGGACGGAGTTAGCTTCCATGCTAACAGTGCAGCTTTAAATCAGCTTTATTAACACTGTAGGTAAACAGCGTCATGTCTGCTCCGGCTGCACTCAGTCCGGATCAGTCCTCCTGCAGCTCGGACACCGGGGACGTTTTAATCCGCTCCACACGAGTCCTCCACCCGGACCGGACCGGTCCCGGAGGCAGACCGGGACCCGGATCCGTCCAGATAACCGTCCGAAAACTGCGGGACTTTCGTCCTCCTCCTCTGACCGAACTGAGACAGAATAAGCAGCGGCGGCGGAGTCCCAGACAGAACCCGGACATCGCTGCTCCACATCGGTCAGCAGCGTACTTAAAGCCCCGTAAGCTCTCCGGAGGAGGAGACGGAAAACTCGCTGAGGCGATGGACACAGGTGGGGGGTAATATAATACCTGGCAGGTGTGTTCATTGTTTTAAAACGTGCCCAGACTGAAGGTGTGTCCGTGCATCAGGGTGTGGGGGAGTTTGTGAGGGTCATGGAAGAAATCCAGAAACTTTGGATAAAGTCACAGCTGCTCACGTGACTCACAGCTGCGTGGAGCTGTGACGTTTAGTTCAGGCTGAGGTTTAAAAGCCAGCAGCACAGAGAAACACTGAGGTAGGAGTAGGGTTAGTTCACTAAAACTAGCTGTGTCGGCACATTTCAGTTCACTAAAGAAAAAAATATTAGTCGTAGTCTTTTAAATAACAATAAAAACTCAAATAAACTGAAATGAACGTGGAAAATAAAATAGGATAAAAATATAGTGTAAATATTTGTTGGTTTAAAATAATTCTGTAACATCGTGACTGACGAGGTTTTAATGGACATCTTTGAGGCTGAGGGTCGCTGTTCAGTGTCATAGACGTGCCTGTGACACACACCCTCTATACAGCAATACAGACTAAAGGTCACAATAACGTTCAAAAACAAAACTCTAATAACTCTGCTACACCTAAAGCCATTAAACCAGACGGTCCTTTAAAAGCAGTGAAGATCGCATTTCAGCCAACAATCAGCAGCCTCGCGTTACAGATCCTCCTGAGCTCTCACAGATACGTCTCTAGACGTTAGACAGAATTTCTTCACACACGATCGTAAAAAGATCAAAATTCACATTTTTTGTATTTTAGTTTGACTCTGTGTGAGAGTGAGCCTCCGAGACTCACCTCTCACCATAATCATTCAATTCAATCTGAGTCGTAAAAGGTTATCTGTGTTTATCTTTAATCATCACAATACTGACCACCTCTGCTTGCATCATCAGGTGACGACGTCCTGACGTCACGGTTTGCGTCTGGGGGTCGAGGAGTCGTGCTGGCGGCTTTGAAGCAGCGGTGAGTGAAACGTGTTTCCTCAGACTTGCTACTGGTTGCTCATAAAAACACATCTCATCTTATCTGTGATGCTCAGCTCTCACAGCGCCCCCCGCAGGAGGGAGGTCAGAGTTCACTTCTTGGACCCGATGCCGCTCCACTCTGTGGGAAACCCCCCGGACGCCCCTGCTCTGAGCTCCCAGGATGCAGCGAAGGATGCTGGGGTCCAGATGGAGACGCCGCTGTCCTCTGGTGACCTGGGAGATGCCAGTAGCACAGCCGCCGCCGCTGCCACTGCAGCTTTGGCAGCTGCTGCTCCTCTCTTCAAGGTGAGTACAGCTGATAGATCAATAATCTGATACACATGTTTATTTCTGCTTTTTCCACATGTGAGTCTCTGGGACTGACTCACTGCTGCCTCTGCTGGACATCAGAGGAACTGCAGCTAATGTTTAGCACCTCTGTTTGTTTGTTTACAGGCTCAGTCTGATATGGAGGCTCGAGTGGCTCAGCTGGCTGACGGCATCCAGAAGCTGCTGCAAGCTGACAGGTAAACCGTGTGCACCTGTCGTCTCGTTATGCTGAAAACAATAAGAGAAAAATAATTCTGTGACATTATGTGACATCACTGTGACATCACCGTGTCATCAGGGAGGGTGGGGACAGAGGGCGGAGCATGAGCCAGCAGACACTGCAGCACCTGGAGATGCTGCAGTGCCAGCAGGTGCAGCTGCAGGTGAGTACAGGAACACCTTTAATGATGTCACCGTGCTGAACAATAGCAGCAGGGCGTGTCAGACGTGTTATCCAATCAAAGAAAATGTAAAACCTGGGAATTGTAGGAATAAAGATGCGACGCCTGCGTCTCTTTCTAAACTTTCATTGGCACTTCTCTCCTCCAATCAGAGCCAGCTGCTGGAATCAGCCCTCAGGATAGCGAGCGGCCATGCTTCAGACCCGCCGACGCACCTGCAGGTCACACACCTGGATGCTGCAGGTAAGCACACAGCAGTTTGTGTTGGTCAGCATGAGGTGCGTCCTGTGAGTCCTGACATCAGCTCAGTGGGTCAGCCTGGAGCTTACACACATCGGTACAGGGGAGGTCACAGGAAGGTGGAGTTTGCAGTGTGCGACCAATCAGAAACATGGACAGGTGTACCAACAGCAGAACAGGTGCATGTTTGTGCCACACATGACATTTTGAATTATTTAGCAAACAATAGATTATAAATAACAACCTGTTTGTCTGCCTGATAAACACCTGAAACATAATTATTTCAAAAACGCTGAAAAAAATAAAATAATTTTCTTTTTTCATCCAGTAACTGAAAAATCTTCCAATATTTTTTTTATTTTATGGCTGATTAAAAATACATTGTTTGGACTTAAAGTGCAGAAATGCAGAGAATTTTTTTGAGCTCTTAAAATGATAAAAATGTTATTTATTATAAACAAATAACTAAGTTTTGGACTGTCAGCCCTGAGGTGTTATGAGGAAGG